CTGCTCGTACTCTAGATATGACAATCAAGCACAAAATTCCCTAAACCAGATAACATTAAACATAGTCTAAAAAATCATGTCATTTCACGAGTTTGCTCACTGAGCACTTTGATTCTCTTTTGAATGGCTTTCTGTAAGTACATAACACGTGGAGTTCAATGCCTGAAATGAAACTAACAGATCATCCATCTCTGCTCTGTTTCCCTCGAAATATCCAAAACAATAATTGCCTTCAACAGAAAAGCCGTTGAGATGTTCTTTCAAAAAGTCGATCTCTAAATCTCTTCACATTGTTGGCTTTTGGTCTTCATCCAAGGCAAAATCTTCCAGGAAAAGCAAACTACAGTGCGAAAACCAAGTTCCTGCCAAATTTGATTGACATTTTTGACAACCGGAAATCATGATACTTTTTTTTCGTCACGCACGTCACTACAAACCATATATATAATTATTCTTGGTGCCTTTCCAAATGCCACTGACTCCCTCTCCGAAGCCTCCATTGTTTATTAAAGCAGTAAAAGATATGAGTTCAATCAACACTTTTGAAAAATTGCTTAAACTGTGAAGTAAACTGTTAACATTTCGGCTTTACAACACGATTGTCTCTGGAACAACAAATTATATGTCTTTATATGAGGTATAAAAGCTGTTTCACCGCTGACCGCTCATATTTGGGTCGTTTTTTCTATCCCCGCTCGTCGCCCGTGATGTAGTAACTCCCGTTCTTCTCGAAACAGGGACTTCGCTTTTCCCGCCTTCGAATTCAACAGAACCGCGTTCTATTATTTCTCCACCGCAGTCTTCCTTTTCCAAGTAAGCTGGGAAAGCTGTAGCTGATGGACTACCGATATCAAAGTCATCACTTTCACTGTAAATGAAAAACACTAGGTCGCCTAGGTCCTAAAATTTTCTTGAAGTAGTTTCTTAGTCAATGTATCCTAGTGGCCATCTGCTGCGTTACGAAACTGATTTGTTGACTGATCAAGTCGTTAATCTTCGTAGGTTCATGGTCAACTTTTTATATAGCACTGTATAAAAGAACACGTTGCATTGAACTCTTGAGGGCATCTGGTAAATAGATTGACTTTTATTTCCTAGACATTTCACATTTAATTAAAAATTATTCGCTGTAATACGTCGTCTAGTCGAAAATCAAAAACTATCAAGGTTTACCAAACCTAGCTTATTCGCCCTTCTCTGAACAGTTCGTAAGTGTAGCAATAAGCAATCACATCCAGGAAATAAACAAACGACTATGACAAACTAACGTACACTGTAACAAAAGTCATAGAATAGCGACATTACTTCTCAGAAACAATTGCGTCCGCGCCGTCATATTGATCCTGTTCATCGTCATTTGATACGGTCAGAATAGAGCCTGTAGGTTCAGGTAAACATTTTGCAGCTTCTTTAGTAAAGAAGTTCTCTAACGTTTTTACTCCCTTAACTCCGGCTCTCCTCTTTTTTGACATGCATTGAAGTGGGCTATAACAACAAAAGAAAAAGACAGTTTTCAAACATATGCGTACATACAACTAAACTTTTAAACTTCAATATAAAAGTAACAATTTAAAATAAATATCCGCTGTTTTACAGGATTGCTGAGTGTATGGTGTTACCTCATTGAAGTCGGATCACGTGGAAATTCTGACACTATAACCTGATTAAAGGACGTTATTAAATTTATAATAAAAGTTCTTAAAGGTAAATTAAAAGCGATTATTTAGCAAAGCGCAAATACTGTCGTTGTCACAAAAATACTTACTTGTTTTGAAGAATAATATTTTTCCTGCCGTCTTTCTGTCAAGTTGAACGGAGTACGACTTGCAGCAAAGACCGCATTTGATTTTTGCCTCATTGATGGCTGTCGAACCTTCAAGTTTCTCAAGCTCTGAAACAAATTATAAGAAAAATACAGAAGGAGTAACAGGCCTTTTTAATATAATTATATGTGCATAACTCCAATATCCTTTTTTACATTCAGCTGTAAGACATTTTTGTTAAAACGAGCTAAAATGAAAACACAACGATATATATCTTGAACACATTTTAGTGTGTAATATCGCCGTATATTTCTAAGAGTCTTGCAGTATTTTGGCCAGCCCGAAGGGTAAGTGAAAATAAAAATGACGAGTACAAATTTACAGCAATACCGCACAAAAATGTCTAATAAGAAATTTATCCAACGATGTTCCATGATTTTTTTTTAATCGTTCGCGCGCTCAGCTCAATATGAACACGGAACCTGTTAAACCGGTCTTGGATGCATCACAAAAACCAGTGCGCTGTGTACATGTACAACAAATTTAGTGGTTCAAGTTCCAGACCCCCCGCCTTGGTTATTAGTCGACGTGCTTTGTTTTTAGATACGACATTGGCTCTTTCCACCCGGCGAATTAGATGCTGAGGGTAACTCTGAGATGAACGAGGAAATCCTAGTAGTTCCTTCATGCTAAGAAATCTGACATAAGCATACGTATGGTGGGAACAGAACTCGAACGCAGAATTTTCCAGTAGTAATAGAAAGACAGTATAGCGTGAGCCAATGAGTATGGAGTATATAGAACATGTGACCGATATAGACCAATCACAAGGCCGGATTGAAAAATGACGTCACGAGTTACCTAGCGCCCCTGGTACCGAGTTTAATGTGCGCGCGCGTGTGGGTGTGGAATGGGTTTGCAAGCGCGAGGAGACAGGAATCTGTTTACGCGTGGGTAAAAAAGCAGGATCCTATTCCTTCATCATCAAGAATGATAAGCAATGTTCCAAAGGGAGATGATTTACATTGAATGCACGTGGACAAAAAATCCTCAATTGTAATTCCATGCGGGATTTGGTGATGGAAGTGGTTTTAAGCCCGGAGGAGACGACAC